AAAAGCATAGAAATTAACCAGCAATTGGTGTTACATTATGAATCTTTTGACCTGAATCTCTCACGTTATCTTGTTGATTCAATTATGCTGCTTCCAGGTTTCCAAGGAGGGTAATTCACCATTTACTTATGTAATTGTTGACAGCCAAACGTGAGTACCAATGTTTTGATGCTCTCTCCCTCTCTCCCTCTCTCCCAGTGTCTTTCTTGCATGCCCACGCACACACATAAATGCAGATTTCAGTTCGAGTGACTTTTGACGCAATGCAGATTATTTAAGTATTTTCTGTACTGTTTTGCAAATTTTTCTGGCGTCTCTTTACCCTCTGTTGTGTGCATATTTTAATCTGACATTTTACCAGGCCAAGTCCTTTCTTAAAAAGTTCTCTCTTCCTTGTGGCTCTATGTATATGGAAAATGAATTAAGGCAATCATCTAAGCATTGAACTTGCTTATTTTGGAAGTCAACCTTCTGTTTGATTTATCATAAGAAATATTTCAGGAAAACTCGTACTTGTATTCACTCCCCTGGGCATCCACCCATGACTCCAAATGAGCTTTCCCGGTCAAGTTTAGCACGTGCTTTGGATGGAGCAAGGATTGTCTATTTTGATGGAATGCTGTGTGAGTGTGACACTGCCTTAGTTATTGCAGAAGAGGTAACTGTTATATACCTTTGCTTAAATTCCCTTTGCCCTAAACTTGTAGCAATCAAAGATTATGGTACAGGTTCTGCCTTCAAATTAGATGAAACTAAAAATTCCTAATTTTGTTGGAAGTTGTGAAATGAAACTACCAAGCAGTATTCATATCTATATTTTCTTTTATCTGATACTATGGCGGTTGCCAGTTGTGGACAAGAGGCTACTTAGTTCCCCCTCATGGAGACCATATAAAAACTAGAACTTAGGTTTTTTTGGTGCCCACTAACTTTGAAAATTAAAAGATTAGGTGTTCAAGCTAGGTGTTCAAGCCATTGTGAAAGCTAAGAACATTTATTTTCTTCATGCACCAATATATGTAAAAAATGGTCTTTTTTCCTCAATGATTAGTTGCTAACTTGGCATGTGACCACTATGGTCTTTCTCATTGATAACTAAGTATAATCCTTTGTGTTGAGGTTTTGACCATTGATAAGTTTTGCATGGCCCTTCAATCAACTTCTGGTATGTGATGTTGGCAGTTTGTAACTATAGTGTCATAAATTCTATTTCTTCAAGTGTCCCTTCACAAGAATCACATCAAGTTCATCCCTTATGTTCTTAAAAATGATCAGCAACTGCTACCAGTAAGCTAATGGTCCCTTTTTGGATTCTTTTGGTACAGGCAACTCGCAAGAACATACCTATTTTAGTTGAAGCAGAAGGGATAAGGGACGGGTTAGATGACCTTCTAAAATTAGCTACTTATGCCATATGCTCGGCAAAATTTCCAAAGGCAAGTTGATTCTTCTTCAATGGATCAATATGAGTGTACACTTTATTTCTGATTTTTGTTATTTAAAACTTCTGTCCTTTTCCCATCTTCCATTTTGCCTTTGTGTTTTATTAACATTCTTTTATGTAGGAAATCATGACAAATCCTGACTTTTCCCTCAAAGCTGTTCTTTCAAAAATAGGAATCTTTTATTGATAGTAATTTTTTTTTTATTTACTGACCTTAATTTCTGTTTACTTAATGTCTTCTTCCATGGAAATATTACTCGCAAGTTTTGTTGTGAAGCTATTTGTTTAGAATTTTATTGAAATATATGTTTTATGCATCCTCCAGAAACTCTGACATCTGTCATTTGTCATATTTATCTTGTTTAACATCTTGCACCAAGCAGTTTATTACTTTTATTAATACCCTTTCATAATCTTACCTAATTGGTCCTTCCTTTTTATCTTTGTGATTGAACTTGTTCTTTAATGCTTAGTTACAAATGTGATATAACCATAGAATTTCCATGAGACAGGCATGGACGGAAGCACCATCTATTCCAAGTGCACTTGTAACCATGCTTCTGAGATTACCAAATTTAAAATTTGTGATTGCAACATTGGGTGAAGATGGATGTATAATGCTTGAGAGAAACATAAATGGTGAGTATGTGAGTGAGCATTTAGGATAATGGGATAGATCTTATGCAGACAGGATGAAAAATTGTGGTTCTAACTTCTAAAATTTAGTTCACTTATTTTTATAGGTTACATATCTCACAAGATTCACTGATGCTCTATTTGCAGGGAGTCCTGATTCTGAAGAGATGGATGTAGAAGTCTTATTGGAGTTGCTGAAGCAGAGGAAGGATGACAGTGCTGTCCTCCCGACCTGCATTTCATCGGTAATCTGCATACCTTGGGACTTCAAGAGTTATAAATAATAACATTGGAACGTTCAATTCGTGGTCTGTATGTTGTTCACTAGAGTCTTCTCTAAGTGGGAGCTAAAGTTGTCAATGAGCTTGGATTAAGTATCTAAAATCTATAGTAGACACTTGAAGCTCTAGCCAAAATGGAGAAAAACCTATGCTTTGTGCATAAGTATCTTATACTTTGGAAGATAGCAAGCAGAGGTACATAATAAAAGTGAAAGAAAGAGAAACCATGCAGAACATGTAAATTATGAAATTGCTTGATGAATAAGAATTTATTCCTTTATTGTTGTTTTAGACTTTTAATGTTATGTGAAATTCCTGATGGTTAGATATTAATGAATGTGGTCTGCATTTGATTGGAAGTTGACAACTTTATCTTTTTCCTTCCATCCTTCCCAGCCAGTGATCCAATTGACAGCAAAGGGGATAGGGGAGGTCAGTGGCAGGTTAATTGTGGGAACAGCTGAGAAGATTCCTCCATCGGAAATTGTTGACACAACTGGTGCTGGGGATGCATTTGTTGGAGCATCTCTTTATGGTATGTTTAACCATTCAACTTGATCTTCCTTGCACTCCTCATCCTTTTGTTCTTCTAAAGTTTTCTCCAACTGTTTAAATTGCAAAGTTATTACACCTTGAGGCTTGATCTATTTGGGTTCATCTTTGAAACCATGTTGCTTCATCTCAAAAGCATAGAAAAATGAGGCAGGTGTTTTGTAGAAAATTATCTTACTGATATTATCACCACAGCCTACTAGGTTGATATCCTGGATCACACTCAAAGAATGTCAATTGACTATTAAGTTCTTGAACAAAGAGCCCTACCTCACTAGCTTTACTTATTTAGCCAACTTTTAGGGTTTCCTAGTGGCTACCTTCTTCCTTAAATGTCCAACATTCTTAAGTGGGAAAATCCAAAATACATACTGTGGTCTTGTAAATAATATGGGTCTCTCTACCCTTTGTCAATCGCTTTTAGGTTGGATGCCCTTCAGCATTTCCTTCTGCCTGAATGCAAACCATTTTGTTTTTTTCTGATCAACGCCTGAATGCAACCACATTTGTTGTTTCAGAATTCATTTAATTTATTAGTGTAGAATTTATTCACTTCCCAGATTCCATGCATCAATAATTCCATAGCTTCGTTGCTGCTTGTGCCATGTATGTTTGATGAGATTGATGCTATTGTGTTTCTTTTTTACCAGGTATATGCACTGGCATGCCACCAGAGAAAATGATACCATTTGCCTCTCAAGTGGTAAGTAGTAGTTACTGGAATTAAATGGCTTACCTTAAGTGTTTCTGCCCTTTTGTAATGCTGTTTGCAGGCAGCTCTAGGCTGTAGAGCTTTGGGAGCCCGGACAGGTCTTCCACACCGGACAGATCCACGCCTGGCATCCTTTTTGTAAGGCTCCAGCATAGCATCCCCATCACGGTAAAGGCAAATTGGAAACTTAAGCCTCACAAGCATAACACAGGTCCACAGAACCCTAAACATCTCCATAATTATGAGTTTTTTCTGTGGGCTTCCCCTTTTTTACATATTAACTTGTAAAGCTGCTTGTACATAACTTATAATAAAATTCCCAACCTATCTTGTTCACTGTCGGATTGGATTCCCATTTCGTACCCTGTTGTTTCATTAGAAGTGCTTATTCAATTTGCATTACTTGGCATAAATGGATCTGGTCTTCATTGATGAAACAATGTGAAATGCCTCAGTTATGATTTCTTCTTTTTGTGTTTTTGTGTGACAACTGTTCTTTGCTGCTTCCAGAATTGAAAGGGCTCAAACATAAGACTTCCGACTCCTACCTGTTCTTTACTACTAGTCATAACATTACTGATCTTGGTGACGACTGCGATTACTGCCGATGGAGGTACAGGAATATCCACGATTTTTCAGTGATTGATATTTTGTGGCGGGAAAATTTGTTCATTACCCCACAGCAAACTGTCAGCCTCTGTTGACACAAGGTACCATTCTGAAGATAATCAAAGCCCTGCAAGTAAAGGTTGCTCCTCAGCCCCTCAAGGCCACCACTTGATAGCACATTGAACCCCATGATAGCTGCATACAAGAACATCAGCAGTGTCAGGACCTGTATAACGTCCAGACAGTAATTTAGGTGGTATTTTCCGGTTTCAATCCCATCTCCAAACCAATCAATCAAAAAAACTCGAAGCAGGAAGAAGCAACAGCCAGTAGGGCTCCATTCTCTGCTGTCTGCCCACAATTGCACGGTATCATCCAGTCAACCGCAATAGAAATAAAGAAAAGTATCCTGACTTTCACCATTCACCAAAGCCAAATCCCTCAACCTCTTTCCCCCTCTTCCAGACACTAAGAAGAAATTTATTCAGGGCCACAATGTTATCAATCTCTCTTATCTCCCAGAAGAGAGTATCTTTTCTTCCACCTCCATCTCTCATGTGTGATGGTAACATTAAGAGTTCATGTTTACTCTGCATATTATCTGCCACAGACTGCTAGAAGTTTGGGGCTAAAGTTGTCAAGGAGGCATTGACAGCTGAAAATCTGTTGTACTCTTGTATTCATGTTTTTTAACTCATGCTTGAAAGGAAAAGTAAATAGGAAACAATTACATCCCGACTTGTAAATATGAGAATCTATGCTTTCTTATTAGGGAACTGGCAGGTTATTGATGGGAACAGGCAAACGGCTGAGAAGATTCCTAAATTAGAATTGCTGACACAGCTGGTGTTGGGGATGCATTTATTGGAGAACTTTATGTTTATGGTATGTCTAACGACTCAACCAAATTCCCACCTCCTTTGTTCTTCTAAAGCTGTCTGTTATTGCCAAGTGCTCCTTATTTTTCTGAGATCAAAACATGTTGATTCATGATCATTTCAGTAACATAGGAAAACAGGCAACAATGAAGCGTTGGCATGGTGGATAATTATGCCCAGGATGGTATCATGATCGCTGAAATTATTGATGAAATGGCGGAGTCACTATTTACTTGTTTAGTCAAAATTTCTTCTATAGGTTTTCCTAGTGACTGCAAAATTAAGGCAGCGTGTTGTTGAAAGACCTATCCTGATTCCTGACCCTTTCCTAAGTTTACTTTCTATTGATTTCGCTATGTTTTCAGATTATGCGTCAATATTTCCTTCATCTCGTTACTGCTGATGCTATTTCTTGTATTCCTTAGGCCATTAACGAGGTTGACACTTAACGTTGTTTCTGTTTTTACTAGATATTTGTGTGACATGCCACCAGCGAAAATGTCACCCTTTGTATCTCAAGTGGAAAGGTAGTTCTTGGCAAAGGAGCAACCAAGCTGTTAATGTCACATCGCCACTAGTTTTTCTGACCCATTTAATGCCTGATTGCAGGCAGCACTGCGCTGTATAATTGACATCCTTTTTACAGTAGGGTTCTAGTATGCCCTACCACATTGCAGGAAGATAACATCGAAAACACGGCTCGACAACCTCAGCACCTTTCGACATTGGAAAGGTTTCACCGATCTGTACTTTCTACATAATAACTTTTGCAGTGAGCAAAGATACAAATCATCTGAGCTAAATAACAGAAGACACTTGCATAAAAGCATAAACATGGAGGGAACTTGTGAGTTGCACATAGCTTGCTTCACAAATAGTTAAGACCTAACCTAACCACTTTGCATCATCAAAAGCATCTAATCATTCTAAAAACATGTCCAGAATCCAAAAACCTAAGTTTTTGCTGTGTTTAGATGTTGATCCCACTAATTGGCCTAGACCTATAGTTTACAGCAAACTATCTGCTTTAGTTGGCAGCCTCCTGAAGAAACTCAAAGCCCTGGACGGCAGCTTACTCCTGAACCTTGGTGGCCTCAGTGCATACAGCCCCCACAAAGCCACCACAACCCTGAGTGGAACAGCATAGAACCCCACAGCAGCAAAAAGGCAGAAAATCACAAACAAGAACGTCGCCCTCGGATCCCTCCAACTTAGCAGTGCCTGAAACCTTTCCCCCTGTGTGGCCATATCCCCCACCACAGTTTGAATTCTCCCTGCCACACTCCTCAGCCTATCATACCTCATCCTAACCAGGTCTGCACTCCGACTTGTGGGGAATGAATCGAATTCCTCGTCCAGCTCGTCTGGATAAACACTCTCAGCATGAGAGAGCCTTGTGTCCATGTGGGGTGGTTGCCGGGGTCGGGACCTGTATCGCCAAAGTCCAACAAACGCCATGTAGACGAGTATTGCTGGGATTATGAGTTCCGGAAATGCAACCAGCAATAGGAAGACAACAACAAACAAGGCTGAGTACACCGGCTTGTTCCAATTGCGGATGGAGTCCACCCACCTGTTCAAGGCAACCGCACCTGAAATCACATTCATCAGCCGGAGGAAGTTTGCCTTACTTCTTCTCATGCTCCACATATGAGAGTCATGATCAAGCATGTACTCCACAACCTCCCGCCCAAGGGGTGGTTCCGCCCTATTGAGCCGGGATGCCACCACATTCAGAGCCTGGTACCTCAAGGTCTCTAATTGGTTCACACCCAAAGGCTGCACATAATGCATTTTTGGTAGCAAAGGCAGCATGTACGTATGCAACATGTTGCCCATATTAGCACAAGAGAACCTCACAGCCAAATGAAGCTCACCCATTTTCTTGACCCCGGTGGTGTGTAACATAAGAAGGGGATACGAATGGGTGTAAACCCGGTCGGATTCTAACGTGGACAGCCGAATTCTAACCTTCCCGATCCTTGAATCCCGACCACCGGAATTGTTGAAGACGTTCTTGTCAATCCGACAACTATCAAACACTCCAATGGTGATCACCGTGCAAGGGTCAAAGACCTCCCAAGTGTACTGCTCATTCCATTTGGGCGACAGACTATCGACGACGGTTCTTGTTCTCACCCATTTCTGCCCGTATTTAGCTACACAATAAGCATCCGTGGTACTTCCTTTCCCTTCCTTGATCTTCATCGGCATGAGCCCCGTTGCGCCCAAAATGCCCATTTCAAGAACCCCAATGTGGGGCTTCCACAGTTGCTTTGCAGTTGGCCGGACGTCACTGCTATACATGGTGGCCTCGTCAAGAACATGATAGCCTCCGTCAAGGGAAGGCCGGAGATGAATTCTAGACCCAAATCTGGAGACGAGTTTCGACTGATCAGAGGCAGAGAGGCCAAAATGGTTGTCGAGATTGAACCACCGAGACACCACCGGTTTGTCGTCAGTTCTCCTTTCCATTGTCGTCAACGGAAGGAATACTCTTCCGATCACCTCTTCTCTTCCGGGCCCCACGCGATCCTCCACAGAAACCGACAGATAATCCTCAAACGGCTCTGCCACCACAAACAACAAGTCTTCATTCCAGAAAGGATTGGAGAAGCTCCGGCTAGAGCTCGGGGGAGAAATCCTAGTCCTCAACACCTGATTCCCCACCTGAACTTTTGCAAAAAGTTCTGGAAACCTCACCATTGTCGAACCCTTCTCACCGGGAATAATATCTTGGGCTTCAATCACAGAAACTCTCAAATACCACAACTTTGGTGACAGATAAACCTTGGATTTGATCGAGCCGAGCCCATCAAAATGCACATTCGCTGCTTTGGAATGCCACGCCTCTGCAAATGCTTCGTCCGCTTGAGTCCCAAACCATATCGAAACCATGACTTCCGCTTTCAGTTTTTCTCCCTTTTTATCTTCCATTCTGTACCACTGTGGTGCCAATTGACTATCCGGAGGAACCCTTTTGGGAACTTCGTTCAAATCGAAAGAAATTCTGCCCAAAAAGTCATCTTTGTTGCTCTCCTTGACAAAAATCTCTGCCATTGATGACTGTATACAGTCTTTAGAAAAGGCAAAGACTTGGTCCCAGTCCATGTTGCTTGAATTCACCCTCTTCGTCACTCCCCTGTAGTTCCCCAACTTCACCTCTGCCACAATCTCTCCGCCGCCAAACAGGGAGACATTCCTAGCCTTCACCACCCTCACATAAAGGTATTGCATTTGCTCGACAAGGTCGTAGGTTGAACTGGTTTTGTCCTTGTTCAAAGGGCCACCACCAAGGTGAGGACTTGTCTCTTTGAGGGAAAACTCAGAAGACCCATTTGAGAAGATGTTCAAAGGGCCACCACCAACACTAGCCTCACCTGGAGTTCCTCCGGGCATGGTGGGGCCAGGACCAGTGGTGATGACAACAGGCTTGATCTCCCCTGGCTTTGGCTCCACCGGCTTTGCATGGTTCTGACCCTGTAGCATTGGCCTGTTCTCTTGACCCAACTGGTTCTGCTGCACCACTAAAGCAGGGTTTTGCTGCTGCACCTTCTTGTTCTTCAAGAACCCAGAACCAGAACCAGGGACCATCCCGCCGTTATCAATACCCACTTGATCTTTAGCCTCTTCTCTTGTAGAGACGTAAAGCTTCAGGGTAATCTCTCCCCTAATATGCGAAAAAAGGCTTCTTTTATCCAGAGAATACATCTGCGGCGCTCCTTCACCTTCCTTAGCAACACTAGACCCAGAAACCCTAACTTTCCCGAGAAAGTTCCTGTTATTACTCGACCTCCTCTCGTTAAAAACATTAACCTCAATCATTCTATATGGAAGATCCGCAACATCCACAATGTGAAAAACCAACTTCTCATTCCATATAGGATTCAAGTCCTTCCTCTTCACCTGAGTCCTCTGCCTCTGGTTCTCAAACTCCACCTCCACAAACGGCGAACTTGACCCTTCCCCATCTTTCGGGATCAAGTTATGCGCCGCCACAACCTCCACCACCAACTTCTCCTTCCCGCCGGTAGCCGTGCAGTTCATCTCTGCTCCCACAAAACCCAAAGACAGAACCCCAGAAAACAGAGGAAAACAGAGTAAAAAGCGAGAGGAAAAACAGAGGGGTAGGAGAAGTACGAAGTGGACAAATACAGTGTGAATAAAGTACTGAAAAGAGACAAAAGGAGAAACATAGAGACGACAATAGAGACTGAATCAGGGAAGCAGAGAGAGCGTGGTGTGGTGTAAGACTGATTTTCGCAGACAATTAAAGAAGAGAGAAGGGGAATGAGTTGTAAGAAGCAAACAGGGAGCGTTTATTTTATTCTTCGGGTTTCCCGTTGTTTCTTGGCGCGTGGGAAACTAAAGCACCAGTCGAAGTGCAAGAAAAGGGTCATGCCACCCCGTGCCAGAGTGGATATGGTGGGACCAGGGACATTGTTAACGTTAATTCTTGTAAGGGTGAGTCAAATATTAGTTTAATGATGAATTTGGGGTTAATAAATATTGTGTTGTTGCAAGGAACAATAGAAATATTGTGTTGTCGGAGGATTGAGGGCTGATATTTTTGTTTATTCATGAAAAGAAGTAGATTTTTTTGCCTTTTTGGGGAAGACTGCGAAAGGTGGGAAATTCTCTGTTCGGAATAACACAATGCTTTGGCATATTAGAAAAGAAAATGGTATTAAATTAGAATAATGGTAAATGAGAATAAAATTTAAAATTTAAAATTAAAGTATGAGATTAATAATGTAATTTATATTGTATTATTGAAAATATTAAAAAATAAATTTTATATTATTTAAAATTAAATTTTTTAAGATTTATAATATTATATAAATTAATTAATTTAATAACATTATATAAACTACGTAATTGATTTTAAAATTTCTTTTCAAATTTTTTGCCCTCCCTATTATTACTCATGAAATTATGGAAAGTACCTTTAATGTGGTACACTTTTAAATTATGAAAAATTTAAAAATTATAATTATATTTATTTATAATACTCCTAAAAAATGTAAAAAATAAAGAGAAATTTCTTATAATTGAATAATTAATTAAAGTGAATGGATAATGATAGAATTAAAGAAAAAAATTTTGTTTATTTAAAAAAAATAACAATTAATTTAAGATAAATTTAAAATTAAAAAATGATAAATTTTTTGAAACAGAAAAGTATATTTTAAGGATATATGTGAAGGATATATTAATTTTGTATTTTTATAATTAATTTATATAAAAAAATAAAAATTTACTTTAAAATTTTCAATTATCTAATTAAAATTATTTAAATGATATTGGTGTTAAAAATAATATTTCACTTCTACATTTTTCAATTAAAATTTATTAGAAAAGTACATATTTGTTTTAACTCCTATAAAAAATTAAAATCTCAACTTCAAAACCATCACCTTTCAATTAATATTTTCAAAAATTAATAGTTAAATTTAATATTCTATTAATATAAATCATATATGTTAATTTAACATCTATACATTTGATTAAGAAACTTATATTTTTTAATATATATTTAACAATGACAAATTTTTTATAATTAATAAATTAGTTATGTACGTATACATTCAATTAATCTAAAAAATAATAAACATTATCTACATAAATGAAACATTAAATATAATAGCTAGTTTTTAAAAATATTTGTTAGAAGGCAATGTTTTTGCAGTTGGGATTTTTGAGAGTCAAGACTCAAGAGCAATACGCACCATCCTCAATATTTATTAAAAAATAATGCAATTAATAAGCCTAGAGTACACGGTAGGAAAGTCTAATTATAAAATATTAGTTCTTAAATGGAGGAGCCCTTTGTATTATTTGGGACTAAGAAAAATCAGAATTACAATTAAAATATCAAGAATATTAATGTAAAAACTAAAATACCCTTAATAAATTATTACGAAAAGAATATTTATTAATAATATTTAAATAATTTTAAAACAATTCTAATATTTTAAATATTAAGATATTTTTATTTTTATTTTTCTCTTCTTAATGTACTACTAATGGAATTTTGAACTCCTTCCATCTTTTTGACTTTTTCTCTAAATTAAGAATTTAAGAACAATTTATGTATTTATCTATATTATAATTAGAAAAAACTAAAAGATAAAATGAGATTTTTTTGTAATAAGTTAATTAATCAAAATAAATAGATAATAGTATGATTAATGTAAGAAATTTTTTTTTTATTTTTAAAAAATAAAAAAATAATTAATTGGAAACAATAATAACAATTATTTTGAAACAATTGAAATGTTAGGAAAGGAAGAGGTAGAACTTTTATTTTTTTGGTGAAAGTTTTAATTTTTCTTGAAAGAAAAAAGGAGGTAGATAATCTAGCATTGAATTGTTATGTGTTTAGATTTCTTAATGAAGGCTGGGGATGAAGTTAAATGAAACCTTTTATGAGTATTTATGTATTGTATGTATTACATATTAAACCACTTAATTAACATGTAAATAATTAAAAAATTTTAACCAATGATCTAAATAACTTGATAGTAATTTTTTTTTGTTAGAATTAAGAGGTCCTAAATTCAGGTTGCATGGGTAAAATAGGATAAAAGACGAGAGATTGTTACCTTTCATTGTGTAATCAAAATAAAAAATAAAAAATAAAAAATTTTAAAAAGAGTCCTACCTACACTTGAACTTTAAAGTTTTGAACCTCAAATTAAACATTTTTTGAATTAATCAAGGGTTAGATCAAACCTCAACTCAGTTTTGTTTATTAAACTAGATAAGATAACATGCAAAACTTAATGATTTTTTAATAAATAAATAAATAATGACACCGAGGATAAAATTTGAGATTAATTATGTAATATA